GATAAAACTTTTGACTTTGATTTCCTATTGTAAAAATTAATCATACGTATATTTTGCTGAAGTTTTTTTTTGCTGGACTTGTTTTGATTTACTGTATTAGGGCCTAGAAATTCAATGGAATGTGGAACATTAGTACTGTATCTAAACCTTTCAAAAATTGTTGTTTAACATCAAGCTCGAGATTTTTTCACTCAAATGGAGACTCCACCAATTGTCGGTGGAGAGCTGCAAATTTTACCAGTACTCGGAACTCATTGGCCAATGAGCAGTGAAGGATCTTTTACGTGCCAGCATCTACTGCAACACGGGATCTCAGTTTACAAGATCTCCTCAGAAGGAACTCCTTACTCCACGACTCCAGGACAGACGCCTTAATGCCACTTGCTCCACGCTGGCGTAAAACCCGGTAATTTAATGTATTTTTATGAGTTGATAAAACCAGAGTCGCCAGTATTTTATTTTGAACTTAACAAAAAACAAAAACAAAACAAAACAGAAAAATGCGGGGGGGGGGGGGGTTGATCTTCGATAAATGAAATCAAATCGGCAAAGAGTAATACTTGTCTGCAGTGTTTCATCTTGAAAAAAATATTTTTTCACGTTTTTTAAAATACAATTTCATTTTTGTTGTCCTTTTTTAATATGTGTTGTGTAAAAAAAGTAAAACAAGATTTTATATTTAGTCTCGTTTCTGAACTTCCCTTTAAATTATTGTATGTTGTGAAAAATATTTAAATCTTTTATGACGTTCTGTTAAATTTGCAAAGCACAGGAGTGCAATATGTAAAATGTGTCCAAACATAAAAGTTCGCTTTTTACAGGTAAATTAGGTCACAGCTCAATATAGAACATGCCTCTGACGCACATTTTTAAGGTAAACATATGAACAAGGCTACCTGAAATGTTCAATGTACTTCTTGTGTATTCGTCTGAGTTTTCCGACATGGACATGAATCTAAAGAAGTAATTAAATATACATGTATAGCATATTTTCCCCCCAGTTTTCAAATTCTGAATGCCTGATCTCCTTATAACACATGATGTGCTTCACTGTCTTTTTTAAAAAAAGAAAAAAACCTATAAGCTATACGTTTATTTTTTTGTTAGTTGTTTAATGCCTCTTCAAAAATATTTCTCCAATGTGGAGATGCCACCACTTGCTGTTGGGGGGTGTAACTACACCTATACTTGGCACCTAGGGCCATTGATCATTGAGAGAGCTTTTTCGTGCCAGCACCTACTGCGACACGGGGCCTCTTCTTTACCCGAAAGACCAATTTCCATATCCCGCTTTGGATTCGACCCCAGTCACCCCACAGCACGAGGATCAACTCCTTACTCAGCGACTCTTGAACAGACGATTTAAAGACTTTTCCTTTATTAAAAAGTACTCAAACTCAAAGAAAAAAACATTTGTATTGTCATTGATAAAAGTTACTTTCACTCGTAAACGACATAAGAAAAAATGCGGAATTTGCTCTAATATAAAATATGCTAACATAAGTGTGCTGTTACACATGGAGGTTACCGTACAATATTCAAGCTCAACATTACAGATCAGGAGCAGCCATGTAGGTGTGAGGTTTCCCTACCGACCAGTCACACCCGCCATATTGTGCTTGCCATGATAGTGAAAAACACCGGAGGAATTCGTGGACAATTCAGTGTGTAAGTAATGGTCTAGCAATCACTATGATAAAAAGTCAATCAGCTTTCGACGAAGTGATAAATTATATTTTCTGACATGGTCAATTGGTCATTGGAACGACCATAGAACTTGCAAATGATAACTTTGAAGGAGACTGATGATATTCTTTGTTTCATCAACTTTTTTGATAATGTTTTATCTCGTTTTAGAAATTGTTCGTACGTTAGAGAAGTTAGCGGTTGAAAAGTTCAAGTCATTAAGATTATCATAAACTTTCGTGTTAAAATATCCATTAACGTCTTTTTTCTAGTAAAATATTAAAATATGACAAATCGTTGGTATCTTTATTTCAAGCTCTAAGAGAAATAAGTTGACAACTATTGTTAAATGAGATTACGTCATCGTTATTTAAATATCGAGTTGAAGGCCACAGCAAGTAATTACTTCTTCACATGTTAAGATTTTGAATACAAAAAAATAAGAACAGGACAGAATTGTTACCTTTGGAATTTCGACAGAATATTGGAAGATATGGGTGCCACATACACTTAGATATTCTCAATTAGAAACACCAACATCTTTTTAATACCAACAACAGAGTTCAAGTTTGTACGATCAGAATTGTATAAAATGTTGAAAAATCGAATGTTTTGATGTTATAATTTTGATAAATGTTATGATTCAAAAATTATTGCAGAAGTAAAATCAGGAAGATTTATGTTTTTAATCGTTAAACTTAAGTCTCCGGTGAATATCTAGTTAGAGTTTTAATACTTCATCTATTACTTGTACAGTGTACATGTATATTACGTGTTTCCAGGATTTACACTTACAAGAAGTGCAAAAGATGAGTTTTTCAAACTTATCGTTATGTGGGTTTACACGTTGATATCGTTATATGTATATGGCTAGTATTAAAGGTCTTCATCTTGGAAGAGGTGAAATACCACTGTCTCAAAGTCTGATATCGAGTGATGCGGAAATTATTATGCATTTTTGGAAGAGGATGAGGTTTCTATGTAATTTGGACAATCTCTGTTGTATAGCAGTAATTAAACCACATCAGAAATTACGCAACTTACAGGAATAAAATAATTAAAAACCGGTAACCGATCCAAAGCATAATTTATTAGCATAACTTTCACCTCAATAATTTTAAAAAGTCTATTTGTAGGCATGATTTAAGTTTTATTTTTTTTTGTAAATAAATTTCTTATTTGTACGTATTTATTTAACAAGTCAGTTGAAAGATTACCCCTTATATATATATATAAATAAAACAATAACATGTTAGAAACTACCAAAAGGCATACAAGCTAACAATGCAAAAACAGATACACTATAGTCTTATATAGTACTGGAAGCATATTGTGTTTAAATTTAAAGACAAACGGACAAAACTAAAAAAAGAACAGAAAACTTAATAAATGTGCATAGAATACAGAATGAAGGAAATTGTTATAAATCGACAAACGAACTGTTTTCTATGTTACATATCATGGATATTTATGTCAGTGTATATTAATGTCAGTGTATTATTTATCATAGCATGAGAAGCATGATTGCATGACCAAAGTTATTATTTTTAAACAATAATTACATTTTAACATAGAAAATAGTTCGTTTGTCGTATTCAACAATTTCATGCAAAACGATAAGAAGTTAACAAAAAATAAAGGGCGTCAAATGACAGAAGAAGTTTACTGGGTATATATGCGTAAATTTGGGAGGCAAAGCGTAGACAACACATATACTTTACAATGGTTTACTGAGTGTATATGCGTAAATTCTGTAGATAATACGTATAGCTTACGTAGATTGTATATGTATGTACTCCTCGTTTGTTTTGATTTTAATTTCATAAAGGAGGCGACGCGCAACCCAGTTTTTAACCTGTGTGGGTTAGTTGCATTAATTAGAATATTTACTAATTGTTGAAAATTAATTACAGATCACGCTTTGAATAGGCAGTTACCTGTACATCCCGAGGCAATACTCTTTTGTCAAAACCTTAAAAGTTCATTAAACACTTTTTCTCATTATTTTTAATATCTGAATAGTGCCCTTTAAATATCCTACCATTAAAAAGAAGGCAGTATTATAATCTGTTAAAATTCCCTGCATTCATAACAGCATCTTCCTACCCTAATTTTTGTAGAGATCTTGTTTTTTTTTATTCAAGGACACAATAAACAAAACCACTAAAATAAATCAGATTAAGAAAATAAAGCTGGTGTGCAGTTATCTGCCACAATAATTTCAGATGCACCTGCCAGCATTTTTAAGAAATGCACACCAATTTCAAAAATATTACAAGAATGTCATTGCTCCATTAATAATGTGCTAAAGATTCTTCATGCAGAAATATGACTGAAAACGTTGTAACGGTGGTGATTTTCCGTAATCTCGAATAAAAGGTTATTTATCAGAGAATTACATGTATCAGCATCGAATAGTTTTTGCCTGGTAAACAAAGTACAAACATGTAATGTTGCCCTATTGAAGTAAAGATGTGCTTATCCACCTAATGGCACTCGTTCTAAAGCATCTTATTATCTAGAAGAAAGACCAATAAATTCCTTTAAGCATAATGAAAAAATGATCAAAACACACGTTTTCCCTTTTTAGTGTAAGCAAAGCCTTCTTCATGTCGCACAAATTAAAAAAAAAAGTTCCTTTTTCGCAAACGTCACATCTGACCTTCAATTAAGGCAAGCAAATCAGAAAAAAGGACAAATGTCCGTGTAACCAATACATTTTCAAAGGAAAAATTTTCCATATCTCAAAATTTAAAGAACTTTATTACATATTAATTGGTGACTAAACTATATAATTCCTGTGGTGCAATATAGGAACATTTCGTATAAATTACTCACTTAGTGTACCAGTAATGAGTTTGAATCATAGTTTCACCCGCAAGGAGATAGCGGAATGAATCCATAGAACTCGAGGAAACATAAAATCCGATTCTCTCATCACGATGCGGTTAAGAGTAGCATGTTTTAATCGTATCATGTTTTAATCGTATCATGTTTATTTTCTTGAAAAAAATTAATACCCAACATATTCCAGAAAAGAATTAAAGTGGTTTTAAATATTTTCAGTTTTATATTTTTCGTCAATTTTTTTTTCTATTGGAATAGAGTTTGAAAAAATATGTATAGCTGATGCATCTTAATATGGTTACACTATAAGTGTCAGACAAGATATTACGTTAATGAAATCGACACCAGTGTTTGTAATTATCATAAGCGTGCGGCTGACACACAATATAGTGAAATATATAAACAGATCATTGGTTCCAGTTCACGCACTTGGTCATATCATCAAAAATCCCACCTTTCAATATTTTTTATTCAACTCAGAGGTGATAGGTTAACTTCCGGAAACATTAATTATAATCCCAGAGCTTCCCGCGCGCAAAATCCCCTGTGTTATGTCACAGTAGGTATATATATCCACCAAAACCGGGTGAAAAATATGAAACAAATATTCAATACGAACCTTCAAGGACTTGGCTGATTACGTTATAGGTTGTTGTTAAAGAGAAGAGCGGGCTAAAACGACATATTTTAGATAAGGTGAATTTAAATCAACATGGAGCGCACAGTAAAATACCTACTTGTGGTTATCTTTGCTTCACTGGTAAGTTATTGTACTATATGTGATTAACAAATATTTGTTAGAAGCCTGTGGTGATTATTTATGCTTATATTCTCATGCATTTGAGTTTTTCTTTAATGATAAATAAGTTTCTCTGGTGATTAAAGCAATGGGTATAAAAAGTATAAGGGTGTCAACAAATATGTCTGAGAACTGGTTATGTCAATACTATTATGATAATAGATGTTCTACCGACTGAATGAAATAACGAACTTCATTATATTTGGTGTTTAAATAGCCTCGATTGCTGCAATTAAAATGACACGATTCATTTTCAAAAGTATGTTTTTGTATTCTTCAGGCAATGGGAGATGGCCTAATTTCAGGTATGTATAATTATACCAAATCTATGATTCACTTAAAAAATGATTTTCACAAATTTGACGATTTGACATGAATGAAATACTATGACAACAAAATTTTATTCAATTTTTTTTCCACTTTCGATTTCAATGTAAAAAGCGATAAGGTAGTCTATAAAACTGTTATTCAAACAAACATAACAGGTGAACGTTGGCTACCGTATATTGTTTTCACATACTAGTACATATTACTCGTCACACACACACACACACACACACACACACACACACACACTCACTAACAATGCCTTTGCAAATAAGCATGTTTTTATCTTTACAAACTTTCTCAAATTTTTTAAGGGGGGGGGGTGTTAAAATATTTCAAGACTCTAGAAAAATAACTTCCAGTCTAGACAACGCTGATCAAAAATCTTATTAACAAACTTAATATTTTCTTTAATTTTGCTATTTGGTACTTTATTCATTATAAGTACGTATATCAATTGAAAAACTATCTAAGCGAAGAACTTTACACGATGTTGTTGAACATTAAATTGCAAGGTGTGGGTTTTACCAGGATATACATGTAAGACATCAATGGATTTCTATAAGGGCAATAAAGATGTCCAAAAGTTTCGCTGCTCAACTTCCATGTCATAAAATTAAAACGCATTAGCTAAACAGTTAGAATATTAGTATATGGAGGAAGGAAATTGAGATTTTTTTGCTAACTGTATAATTCATAAAACTTCCTGTTGAACCTTTATTGGTAGGCAGGACACAACAGGTTAAATACAATTTTTTGTGTTTATTTAATACAATCATTTTTATTCGTTTTTAAGCGCAGAAAATCCATATAAAGCAAATGTGTTATTTAGGGTTCATCAGTAATTATGCAAAAATTTTTGAGAACTAAAATAGTACTGTTTAAACCAGAACTTTTTTGAGCTGTAATAATGTAATTCAACAAACATGGTGTATAATAAGATATACAATCAGTATTAGAAGAAACAGATTGGCTTATCTTTATAAACTGAATTTATTATTTGAAATGTTTTAGATACAAGTATTACATACTGTAGTACTAGTATGTAATTTTTTGGGGTCTATAATATTAAAACGACATTAAGAGGGGAAGGGGGTGTTGAAAAACCCTATTCCAGTTTAGGATGATATTATTAACATTGCATGCATATATTCAAATTGTATTTTGCAGGAAATGTTTGTAACAAAAAGATGGCGGATATTGTCTTCCTGATGGATTCGTCTTTTAGTGTTTGGGAGCAGGACTTCAAAATGCAACTTCAGTTTGTTACAAGTGTAGTTGACAATTTCGAAATTGGAAACGACAGTGTTCAAGTTGGTGTCTTATCATACAGCAGTGAAATAAAAACAAACTTCTTTTTGAATGAGTATAAAGAAAAAGAAAACATGAAGGATGCTGTTGGAAAAATAGAGTATTTAGGCGTGGCTGGGACGGATACAGCTGGGGCATTGAAATATGCACGAGAAGTTATGTTTCACAAAAAACATGGCGGAAGGGCAAAGGCCTCCAAAATTCTGATACTAATAACCGACGGAATGTCTCAGAACTCCAACGAAACTGTGAAACAGGCAGCTATTACGAAAAAATCTGGGATCAATATACTGACTGTCGCTGTCGGTGCACCTATGATGCAGGAACTTGAGATGGTTGCAAGCAACCCCGCCACAGATTTTGTCTTTAATGTCACCGACTTCAACTCTTTACCCAGTATTGTGAACTCACTTGCAACAACAACATGTTTAGGTATACATTAAGATTTTCAATTAAAAGAAATAGTGTATAAGGAAGAAATAGATAGATATATATAATGGCAAAAACCTTTGTTAACGCTTATATTATTTTATACTCACAGTTCCAGATATTCCACGGGATGAAGAATCAACAACAAAAAGTTCAGAGATCGAGGAAAAAATTAAAAAATGTAAGAGAATTTGGAGTGCTTAAAGAGAAATTATACTTATTGACAATTCAATAAACACAAACAAGCCTTCAGTGGCAAATTTATTAAAAAATATCTCCACGCAAAAGAATAAAAAAAAAAAACCCAGAAGCCAGTGAGTAACGATTCTTGAAAAAATGCTTAGTACATGATTCACAACAGTGTGTCACTCAAGTCATTTAGGTTTAAACAGAAAATATTAAAGTAGTTTTAAATTTGTTTTGAAATGATTCTTCTATAAAATTGTGCAATTCATGGGGTAAAAGTTAAGACTTGCAAAAAGTCTAATTTGGCTTGCTTATTTCGTCCACCAAAGGAGATATCAAGTATCTGTTTGCATCTCATGAATCATCAAATATCTCTTCATTACAGATTGTGGGAACAAGCCGTCAGACATTCTCTTTGTAGTCGATAGTTCTAGCAGTATCTGGCCTCTCCATTTTCAGGATATATTAAAATTCATACAAAAAGTGATCGGTCTCTTTGACGTCAGCGACGACAAGAACAGGATTGGGATTATCATATACTCTGATGACGTCACTCCAGTGCTTCATCTTGACAACCAACTCAATTCAAACGAACTGAAAAAGAGGGTATCAAACATTCAACAACTGAAAGGAGGCACGGAAACAGGGAACGCACTTAAGTATGCAAGAGAAAACGAATTTAAAGGGAAATACGAGAGAAAAACTGCAGCAAAGAAAGTGATCATATTACTCACTGATGGACAATCTATCAAACCTAAGGACACGTTGGAAGAAGCAAAACAGCTAAAGAATGAAAATATTACTGTTTTTGCTATAGGCATCGGAAACAGAACGGATAAAAATGAATTAAAAGCAATTGCAACCAGTCCTCGCCATCAGTACAATTTACAGGATTACAACGCACTCTCGACTATAAAAAACATGCTGGTTGTTAAAACTTGTACGGGTAAGTAATGTGTATAAATGGACTTCTGCTTGATAAAGGTGTCTATTTTATAAACATGTAACCAACATGTAATTTTCTTCTTTTACAGTTCACTTTCAAATTCAGGATTCTACCATTGAAGACAACACAGGAAATGAAGGTAACAGAATAAATCTTGTAAAATAGTTTTTATCAGAAGAACATTTTCTTTTTTTGAATTTTATTATACATCTACCATGCTATTTTTCAGAATGCTGGGATAGTGCTAGGAATGTTATGTTTGTTTTTGATTCTCCTGCCATTGGAGCTCACAAAACCAAAATAATTCGCAAAGCTGTTACCGAAATGTTCAAACTTATGCAAATAGGTTCCAACAAGACAAAGGCAGGAATCTTATCGCATTACTGTCCAACTAGTTTAGACACAAGTTTAGAAGAATTCCAGAACGAGCAAACTTTCCTACTTGGTTTGAAGCGTCATCCAAATGATGGTTTAAGGAGACTGCTAAGAATACTTCGGACACGAGGTTTTCCACAGAAAGATGACAAGCCTGTCAAAAATGTTGGAATTATTTTCGTAGATAGAGAAGAACACGATTCACATGGCATCATCGAAGAAGCGCGGCGAACAGCGTTGAACAGCAGACTTTTTGTAATTACCATAGGTAATCGCGTGCCATCGCATACTGTAGAATCTCTGTGCAGTGATTTTAAGCATCGATGTGTTTTCCACGTTCCTCAATACAACTCATTGATTCAGTACGTTCCAGACATTATGGACATGGTTTGCTATTCCTGAACTTGTCGATGAATTTGTTTATAAATTTATTCATAATATTTTATATTTTTTCCCAGCTTTAATTACTAGCCTTAACTATTTATATTCATACTGCAACTACCTCTTCTTTTACACGAATGTTTTATGATAAGTAAAACTATTTGTGCATCATATATCTTCTATGCAACAGGACGAACAGTTTTAAAAAATTGATTATTCTAACAGCTTTGTCTAGTCAAACACCAGCATATAGTCCAAAAAGAAACGTTTCCCTATATCCATACGGTTTCCGTCCAGCTGTAGTTATTGGTGATATGGCAAATGATTTTTATTCATGTTAGATTGCAATCTTCTTTTCTTCATTATGCATGAACCATCTATACAGTGTACAAATAATGTATTTATCCTGTGGTGCTATGTACGTGTAACATATCAAGTATTTCATTATTGTAAATGCCATTGTAAATGCCATTGCATTGCATGTTTTTCATTTCGTTTCCCAATCAAATCTCAGTATTGTAAATCCAATAATTACTATGAGTTTTTTTAAAAAAAATATATTTATATTTTTCAATTTTTTATACTATTGATGATTTTTGCATAAAATTTAACTTTTGTTTTCATATAACTGTTCCATATTTATCGTTTTTTTCTCATTTGTTAATAAATAACACGCAACAGCAATCATTTTTACTTCAATCAGTCAATTAGATTTAGTTGTGTGTGGTTTTGTGCTATGAGAATGAAATTGGTTGAGTGTGGCAAAGTTTATCTAATTAAACGTTAAGTTTATCAAGGCGGGACCTATGTCGTTCTACGTCAAAGCAGCATTATTTGACGTCACAAAAGAGACGTTTTTTTTCTGTTGACTTTTGCAACTGTGATATATAATTATAGGCATTCTTAAAATAATTAATAACGTACACAATTTACAAAAAAGAAAATTTATACATCATTAATATCAGTTTTATTTGGTTTATGGAGTTTATTAATATTAGAGCTCTTCTTTTGATTGATAATTCATAGCAATTTTAGTTGTGAAAAAATACCTCGATAATATGCTGATATAAGTGCAAAAAGAGAAGATAAAATTCAGCAAAGAAAGCGTCTCTTAAGGTCAGACGAGACGTTCCCCAAAAATCTGTTTTGTATATCTTTGTAATGTATGAAAAATATTCAAAATTTTAATAACATTCTGATTTCTAAACCAGTTTCTAAACGTTTTTAAAAAATCCAAACACTTAAACATTTGAAATTGGAAAATTATTTTTCTTCCCCAAAGGATTATATAAGAAAAACTATGTTTAATTTTTATTTTTGTTAAACATGTACATGTTTCAGTAGTAATATTTTAATGACAAACTCTTAGAAAAATTTATCTATTATTAAAGAACGTCTCGTCTGTCCTTAAATCAGGAAAAAATGTTTAATTTTATGTTTACCATTAATTGTATTTTCTCGATAAAACTAAGAAATTTTTTTAATAAATATACTTGTACCTTTACTTACTTATTGATTAGTACATGTAGATTTAATTGTATAAAGTCATTCCTTAGTTCTAAGAGGTGTTGGTTGTTGACGGGGAAGGGGGGGGGGCAGGATGATTGGAATTAAGAAAAAAGATTTAATCAGTGTAAATTGTTACCAATCAAAACAAAATACTTGTTTTCCGCAGAATAGTTTTATATTCAGATGTTTGTCAGTGCTTACTTACCTTTGTCTTAGTGCAGAAAGGTCAATATGACACAATAGTGCGAAAATAAAAAAATTTCAGATTTCTCGTTTATTTTGTCTAAAAGGTTTACTTTTTTCTTTATTAAAATAAAGAGATAATTCATTTCTTCAAAAATATATGAATTACATTTTCACACAAATATTTTTTAAGATATTACCTATTATGCATGTCAAAATTGTTATAAATATGACAAGAAAAATGGGGTGATACTTACATTGTGCTCCGATATAATTTTTTTATGTGAGATGAATTACTATGAATTTCCCTTCATTTTAAAGATACAAGTCAAATAGTTTAAATACATGTTGAAATTGAATGTGATTCAAAATTGACATTTTTTGTTCTATTTAGCGCATTTTGGGGTAGAAAAATAATGTCTGAAAATGATCTAATTTTAGCATTTCACACTGTTTTTGCACGTGCTCCTGTGTAAAAATTAGCAAATAAAGGTATAATAAAGGCAAGAGGCAAGGAAAGAAATTTTAAAGTCTTGAAAATTTCACACGAAGACTTTTTAGACATAGCCCCCCCCCTTTAAATTCTTAGCTAGTGTGATTAGAATGCAGTGTCGAATGTTCTGGTCACCTGTTGACCAGCGTCCGTCTATAACCTTTTTACTTTACGACTTCTTTACAACCGCATTGTTAGTTGTAACCAATATTTTGGGAAAAAAAAACTTATGGTTAACGGAGAACAAATTTGATCAAATGGAGGGCTAAACAACCATCTAATCTAAGGGGAAATAATCAGGATACAGGCAAAAAGGGCAGGTTTATTAAAACATTGAAAAGACCAATGTATAAAATTGAAGGCTTAAATTTATGGCATTGGGGGCCAGGGTAAAAAGAGGCTACAAAAGGGGACTAAAGCTGTACATAGGGATATAAGGGAAAATGATCAAATCTCTTCTCCTTAAGAGCAATTAAACAAAAAACATATATAATGCCCCGAAACATAGTTTAAAGCCGCTTAATCCGAAACAGGCACATTTTATCTTACACAATAAAAGTACGTCATTATATAGAATATATATATAAATAAATTATAAGATTGGTTTTATAGTTTATTACAATAATCCTTACAAGGAAAACATAGATCAAAAACCTTATTGACAAACAGAAGTTCCGGACGGGAAGTTAAGATCTGTTGTGAAGTCACCTTTGAAAAAAATAAATTTATCGGCTATATCTAATTATGAGGATAATTCAAACCCGAGTAGTTTCTCCATTAGTAGATGCCTAAGTAGTAATATATCTTTTAAAAAATTAAGAAATTAATTGCATATAATCCATAGTAATTTTTATATTAATATATTTAAAGGAAAATCAGGATATTTTAAAAGACTTTTATTAAAGGAAGTTTAGTAACGAAGGCTAAAATATTGTCCGTGTACATGTATAAGTACTTTGTTGTGAAAAAATGCTCGGGTTTGTTCTTCTTGAGATATAAGCGATAAATTTAATTTTTCGAAGGTGATTTCACGCGATATCAACATAAGTTTATTTTTTAAAAGAAAAAGACTTTGGGGATATAATTTGAGAAAAGTTGAAACAATTTATGGACAATTATTTTTCAAGCAGAGAAACGAATATATTTTTTCGCGATTAGAATCGGACCAAGCGGCTTTAATGAAAAAAATTGTTCGAATGATTACCCCTAGGGTCAATGTAGAGGACCAAGTTATATATACTGGTATTGATTGGAGTATGTAGAAAATGTCTTTATAATTTCTTTACAAGAATTGGGTAGAAGTCGGGTTTCTTTGATGGGTCATTGTAAATAACTATGTTTTTGATCCTTCCTAAGTAGTTTGCTTGGGAAGGGGGGGGGGGGCAATGGTTATGCTGGCAGATGGATGGTTTAGATAGTTTCTAACAAAATTGCCTCGATTCGGGCTTTTGCTATTCCTTCAGATACTCAACTATCATACTGTGTCTCTCAATTGACTCGATAAGTGTTGCTCTACATACGAGCTATTTCTTAAACGAGGGAAACTATTGACAAACAAGTTGATGAACCAAGAATATCAAAAGTGTAGTTTAAAGTAATAATAGGTTGATACAATGACCTTGATAGCAATTACAATTTACCATTAAGGCAAATACTGATTGTTCAACCATCATTTACACACTGTATTGGCTACGTATATTTCCTGTTTCCCGATCATTACAAAGAGCACACGGCGAGTGTGATTGGTCGGCAGGGAATGCTCACTTTTCTATGGCACCTGATGTTTTAGAGGTCCGTGTTTGCTCTCTTTCTTATTTGTTTTGTCTCAATTTTCCTTTTTTACATTACACATTTCAGTTTCAAATCCTTATGACAACTATAGTACTAGTATTCAATAAGAACACAGACGATTTATGAGAATGTATGTTTGATTTGCCTCATAAAGCTCAGATTTTGGCAGTACGATAATGAGTATGCAAGTTTTAACTCTTCTTACTTAATCACAACAATTGCGTTGTGAATGCTAAAATATTAAATGTAGCAGTAAATGTATGGAACTCTAGAAGTAAATATAACAGTCTGGCGATTTTTACATTTTAAGGGTCCTCCACACACATACAGCTTATGTTCTCATATTATTGAGCATTACTTTTAACAAGCATATCAACCTTTAAAAACTGACCAGGGATAAAAATGTAATTTATACGGAATTTTTAAAATAATAATTTCACAAGTTTCAAAATATTTTTCCCAAGGCGTTTTCATTCGTAGGACCAAAAATTTTGTCTTACCCTATCGTATATTTTTATGCTCACAGAATAACCATAAAAAATTAATTTTAGCGATCAACAATTTTTTTTGAGAAATTCATTTGATTTATAAAAAATAAATAAAACTCATTTTCACTCAAATACATCTAGAGAAAAATCAAGGAAGACTCATTTTGTATAGAAGAGACATCAATAAATAAGATTACACCAAAAAATTGAATTAAAATTAAATGCACTAAATGCAGAAAAAATATTTTCAAAATCATTGGTATCAAAGTTCCTTTTTGGAGTTATCTTTCCTGTTGCCCGGGACTCAAAAACTTTGGCAAGTCTCCGCAATAGTTACTGGCTACTGAACTAGACAGAGATACATGTAAAAGAGGAAAACTAGAAACGCACACTATTTTATTAATATTTATAAACACAATAAGATGATGTATTATTGAAACGCACAAGTTAGTGTGCAAAAATCTCAACTTTCAACATAGACTCTGTTGACGATAATCATGTCAGTGGGTTGATTAGCCTGAAAGTATAAAATACCTTTAAACTTGTTCAATTGTTGTCGACAAAAAATGTAACAGAGCTATGTAAACTGGGAAAATATCTTTATAAATGTACAAAATTAAGAGCAGATGTAAATTGAATTGATATTACGACTTTATCCTCACTACTACTATTACCAAACTTATATTATTGTGCTTTTTCTGCTTTATGAATTTAGAATGAATAGTTTGTAAAATTTTTCTATGATCCTGCTTTACTTAATGTTCAAATGATATTGAAATGTTATACATATACTGTACAACTGATTTATGTAAATACGTTAAACCTATGAACTGTATGGTTCTTGGTAATAAACAATACAATACAATACAATGTGTTCATTGTTATGGGTGTCGTACTTTCTCTTTCGAAGACTCTCTTACAAGCGGTTTCCAGGCAATTCGCCGATGTAAAATCGAAGTCAAACCGGAAGTTAAAGTATTTTTTCTCTATGTACGTCACAAGTCACATGGTGTGGAGGACCCTTAATGCTTTGTTACTTTTTTATTTTTGAAAAAAAATGTCTTTGAAGTATTGCTTAGTAATAAAAAATAATTTACTTTTTTATTTTTGAAAAAAATGTCTTTGAAGTATTGCTTAGTAATAAAAAATAATTAAATTAATCTTTTTCCCTCGACCTTCCCTTTTTAAGTAAAACAACAGACATAATTGAAGGTGATACCTATGGAGATAACGAACAGTATTCAAGATCAAAAGTCCATAAACAATACAAAATAGGAGTAGAGCAAACACGGGCCTCCAAAACATCGGAGGTGGGATCAGGTGCCATGGAGGAGTGAACATCCCCTGCTGACCGGTCACATCCGCCGTGTGATTCTTGTCATGATCGGGAAATAACGAAAAATCCGTCGTCAATTCAGTGTACAAATAATGGACTAACAATTAGCATAAAAAACGTAAGTCAGTATTTGAATCAGTGATAAACAGACAGTGTAACAGGACGTGTAAAAGTATTATATGTTCTCGAACTTGAT